TTATTATTATTATTATTATTATTATTAATACTACTATTAATACTATTATTATTATTATTGTTATTATTGTTATTATTATTATTATTGTTATTGCTGTTGTTGTTATTGTTGTTATTATTGTTATTGTTGTTGTTTATAATTGTTATTAATAATTTGTACAATTAACCTCCCTGTGGTTCGATCCCGGTCTTGTCGGGTTATTTATTACTTCGACACTCCTGCACTTGGGAGAAGACATCAATCTTTTCATCGTGTCACTTTCCATCCATATAAAGTAGACCTAAATCTAGAATCTACAGCTCTAGATATGACCCAATTACCAAACAGTATTCCGGTTTGAATTGCACCGACATCTCTTTTCTAAGTTTGGTCATCTTTTTGTTCTTTCAATTTCAGTTCTTAAATTCATCAATCAATTCTTTCATTTATGTGATAGACCTGCATTTAAAATGAACATTTACCATAAATTAAAGGTATCTTATATTTTACATATGTTATTATAAAACATGCTTTAGTTAAGGAGTTATTGATACTTTAAGTGCAAAATGATGACATAAAACCTTAATAAAAATGCACTTTTAAGTACTAATTAGTGATCAACCCTACCCTGTCCCATCATTTGCATTGGGTGTGAGGTCGCCGCTCCACCTTGTCACGACACTAGGGGAGATGTCCAATAAGAGCGTCACTTGCAGGACACGACCTCTCTATTTTCTCATCATGAGGAGGTGCAGGTGGCGTCTGGTTTTGGCTTTAACAAAGCATGTGGGGAGGGAGAGAGAGGAAGAAATAAGGAAGAAAAAACAAAAACTTTTCTTCCCCTGTTGCATGTCCAGGAGAAGAAGAAGGAGAAACAGTGCTGCCTAAAAACAACAACGTTTCGTTTTATTTAAAAAAAATGCATAAAACGACATCGTTTTCCCCAAAATACATCATTTCATTTAACTTAAAAACAACAATGTTTCGTTTTATTTAAAAAATTTTCCCCAAAATACATCATTTCATTTAAAAGAAAACTGGCGCCAAAATGCATCATATTTCAAATCAGTCCTTCAATTAACACGCTTTTCAGTTTAGTTCTTGGTTTTGGATTTCTTCAATCCAGTCCTTAATTGGCCATCAAACTTTAATATTTATGTAATTAAGCCCCTGATTTAGCCAAATCAACTCTCTAAAATTATAATTTGATCCCATAACTTTAATTTCTTCCAATTAAAACCTAAATTGACTTAAAAAAATATTTTTTTTTCTTGCAATCAACCCTCCTTAAATTCAATTAAACCTTCAATAAAATTTATTTGAGTCCATCAACATCTGATTTTGTGTTTTTCTTTCTCAAATAAAATTTTCTTTATCAATAGAGGTCTCACTAATAAATGATATACTGTTAAATTTCAATCTTGATATCGTTTAACCTCCTTAATTAATTTTTGACCTTTTTTTTGCGTTATGACATCCTCTTTTCACTAATATATCATTAAACTTCAATATTTATATAATTAAGCTCCTGATATGACAAAATCAACTCTTCAAAATTATAATTTTACCCCAGAACTTTAATTTCTTCCAATTAAAACCCAAATTGACTTAAAAAAACATTTTTTTTCTTGTAATCAACCTTCTTTAAATTCAATTAAACCTTCAATAAAATTTAATTAAGTCCATCAATATCCGATTTTTTACTTTTCTTTATCAATAGGGGTCTCACTGATAAATAATATACTGTCAAATTTTAATCTTTGTATTTTTGAACTTCCTTAACTAATTTTTGACCTTTTTTTTTGGCACTATGACATTATCTTTTCACTGATATATCATTAAACTTTAATATTTATGTAATTAAGCCTCTAATTTGACTTAATCAACTCTCCAAAATTATAATTTTACCCCAAAACTTTAATTTCTTCCAATTAAAACCCAAATTGTCTTAAAAAAACATTTTTTTTATTGCAATTAACCCTCCTTAAATTCAATTAAACCTTCAATAAAATTTAATTAAGTCCATCAACATCTGATTTTATATTTTTCTTCCTCAAATAAAATTTTGTTTATCAATAAGGGTCTCACTGATAAATGATATATTGTCAAATTTCAATCTTTTTATTTTTGAATCTCCACATCTAATTTTTGACCTTTTTTTAGTGCTATGACATCCTCTTTTCACTGATATATTTTTTCATATATTATTTGATTAATTTATTTCTTTTCTCCTTTTTTTTTGTATGGGGACCTAAAAATGGATTACAACATTAGTCATTATTATCAACCTTTAATTAACTACCATAAATCAATAATTAAATCTCAATATTTTGGCCATAAATATAAATTTTTAAGTTGAAAAAATTATATAGGTTTACAAAAAAAAATATTTATGGAAGAGATTGTTTAGGTTTTAATATTTATGAGTTAGACTGGACAAAACATGGCCCGACAAAAATAATTCTTTTTTTCTAGAGAATTATAAACTCAAGCCCAAGCTCATAATTATAATAGGTTGGTAAAAGAACAATCTTTTAAGATCTAAAAAAATTATTTTACAATAAACTCAAATTTAGACCCAACTCGAAGCCCGAGCATGAGCGAAGCCAACACATGTATAGAGGTTTAAGCTCAAATTCCACTTTGCTTAGAACATCTTTCATCTAAAAATTTGGGTTTTATTTGATTCTAATTTTAACTTCTTAACTTCTTATTTTATAAACGTCAAGAAAAATATTATATATATATATATATATATATGGGATAAAGTTTTTTAGAAGGTTTTAAGTTTTATCAAAATATTCTAACTAAAAATTCTTTAAAATTAATTTTTTATTTATCTATAATTTTTTAAAAAACATGTTCATGTTTTATGTTAAAAATTAAATTTAAAAAACGTCTTCACAAAGTGAGTAGACTACACTTTTAATTTAAAATTTTATTTTCATATTAAAAAAAAACACTTTGAAACTTCCTAACACTAACTTTAAAGAAAAGCAACGTTTTGTTACATTATTATTATTATTATTATTAAAAAAGGAAAAAAGAAGAAGATAGAAAATACAGCACCTTTTACTTTTTTGCAATATTCATATTCTTTGCATCTTTGAAGCTAGTATATGCATTAGCGACCGCGGCATTGACTGCATAACCAGAGCATGCAACGCTTATTATATGCTAATGCCTCTTCTCTTCGTGGAACCTTCCAAATCGTATGATTCAAGAAACTTCGCTTTCCGGATCCATATTCCAAAATTGCAGCCAAAATTGATCATTGCAGACCTCTTGTGGGAAACGACTTTTAGACATGGGAACTCAAATCTCCACGTAAGCGTCACGACCAATTCCTTATCCGATATCCGAGTCTTTAAAAAAATAAAAACGGATGGGACCTTCTTCTTGAAGCCCGGTCCACCGTCCACGTTATTGTCAGTAGGTTCTTGCCTGAATGCGGTGCGCTCGGTTCCTGATCGTCTTCACAGATTATTGGCTGTAGGGATCGATCAATGTGGAAAAAAGGATCGAAAAAGGGAATAAATCGGTGTGAAAACATACACGGACACCGCCACGTAGAAAAAGAAGATTAGCCAATGCTTACAACAGCAAAGGTGGAAAATAAGCCATGGGAGAAGATAGTAAATGGTATTCTTTAGTTGTTCATCATTTGACCTCAGATGGTTTCCGGTTTTGGGGTTGCAAATTAGAAAAAGTCATGAATTCCCTTTTCTGGTGACTAGATGAGAATAATCCAAGCAGCGTCGTTTAAGAATCATTGATGTCGTTGATAATTGATCAGACTCCGTCACAACCAGATTTTAACGGATGGCCAAAATAAACGTGATATATATAAACAAACTCGACGGGTAATTATAAAATCATGGAATATTCTCAAAAAACAAAAACGGTGGTAGACCGAAACTAGTTTGATAAGGGAATAATGTGAAATTGAAGTGAGTTATGAAATGGTTTAGCATTAAATATAAATAAAATAAAATAACACTGTAATATTGGGATCGAAGAGATAATATGTCAGTAAAAATAATGACGAGATACGTGGGTAACAATTAACAGAACCTTAAATATAATAATTTTTCATAATTTCGTAACCATCCATGTTAAAAATCATAATTATAAATATTGTAGTACTTTTAATTTCATTAATAACTCGAAAGGCTCTTTCCTATAATTACACTTGTTAATTATCTTATAATCCAGCTTTCAAGTATAATTAATTCAAACTTTAGACACACACACACTGAAGGTTTATTATGACAATAGAAATGGGCAGAAGAGTATGAAAATAAAATAACAAATCATAATTGATACTTGAAATAAAATAAATAAATAAAGTCATGATTTAGGTGGGTCTTAAAATTGAGTAATTAATTGATTAATTTAGTATGAAAAGAGAGTATTAATGACTATCGTGTAGGTTTAGGTATGGGAGTGCTACGATAATCAACGGATACACTGGAGAACCGAGAGGGAGTGGGATCCACTAGGAATCATCATCGTCATCATGAGAGCTCGGTTTTTGGATGGCTGCAAAGACAACGACGGGCGGCTCCAAGCAATATTTTCTTGTAAAGGGAATGATTTCTATAAATGCCCATTCTTACCACACATCATCCATGCAAGCATAGATTTGGTATCATACAGTAGAAGAGAAGCAAAATGGATTCAAGCTAGTTGCGAAATGGAATCCAGCAAGAGGGTCTCAAAGAGAGAGTCTGGTATAATGTATTTAACATTTTTCAGCTGTTCTTCCATGTTTTTGTTTTTGAATTTCTAACATGCACAGTATCATTCCTTAGACTTGCCAACAGAAAGGAGAATTTTTCCCAGGCACGAGAAAGGGAAAGAAGCTGGAGATGGTAGAGATTAGCGAGTGACCTAAACGCACAAGAAAAGGACAGAAGGAAGTGAGGGAAAAATATCGAAGGAGTAAGAAAAGAATGAGAGTAATTAAAGAGAGGAAACTAATCTAATCTCCCACTCTTAGGTTCATCATCAAGATTAGAGGAAACTAAAAGAGGGAGATTACATTAGTTTCCTCTCTTAATTACTCTCAACTCCTTTCTTATTTTTTCGGATTTTTCCCTCACTTCTTTTTGTCCTTCTCTTATGCGTTTTTGTCCCTCACTAATCTCCACCATGTCAGCTTCTACCCCTTTCTTGCTCCTCTTGTTTGCAGACTTTAAGAGATGATACATGCTTGAGAATTGAGATTCAAGGCAACAAGAACCACATGCAAAAATAATAATATAGTGGTATATAAGATAGATGCCAGACTCGCGCTTTGACCTGATCTAGCTGGATTCCTTTGGTACTAAATAAATAGACAGCATACGAGTGAAGGCAAATCAGAGGAATAGGTGTTTCAACTTTACAAGAACTTAGATACATAATGGGCTCTGGAAGCAACTGTGAAAGCAGGAACCAAGTCCAAGAAACGCAAACCTTTTAACCCACAAAATCTGAAAATATCAAATCCTCAGCAGCTTTGGAACAGATTCAAGCCATTTTCAACTGTCACGTCTTTTTTTGGCCTCACCGCTTTCCCTCAGTTCAACTTTAGAGTTGAAAAGTTGATGCTGTGGTGCCTGGTGTCTTCAAAGGAGAGCAGTCCCTCGGTCTTAAGACAGGCAACTTTGCTTTTTCCCCTTTTCAGTTGTATTAATTTAAGTTTGTGGGTTTTATAGTAAAGTTTATGAATTTCTTTAAATAGCTTTGATCTGGTATGATGATTTTGTTTGCAGGGGATGGCAGATCTGTAATGCTTTTCTTAATTTTTTTTTTTTTTTTTGCTGCTGCTTAAAAGCTTCAACTTTGTAAGTCCTCAAGGTGAAGGCGTGAAGCATCTTCTGTTAAGGATGAGAAAATGCAAGATTGTGCCGACGGATTTGGAGAGGCAGAGACAGCCTGCAGGGGATAGATAGCCTATGGATGGCAAGAAAATGATCTCTCTGTCTGCATGATTAGTAATACTTTTCAAGGAGGAGAATTAGAAGAACACATCTGTTGTTTTTGCTTGATTATGGCTCAGCGTTTTGCGTCGCCTTAGATTCCTAAACTAGATGCAGACCTATCTGATTCTTTCCAGCATCATCAGAAATGTCTACCCCAAAATTACAAGGCCGTCAGCATCTTAGCTTTGTTGGGCAGCTGTAAGGAAAGATGTTTTCGTAATTGATTACTGCAAAATTGACCATTCTATAGATATGATTACTACAAAGAGACATTGGGAGTCCATTCCTGTATTAATCTGCTCTCATCTCAGCATTAAACAAGATCTGATCTAGTCCATTAATTGGTTTGGCAGACAAGTTTAGCTATAAATCTTGCTATCTGCATGCCTATTGTGGAAGCTATTCTCTACTGCAGTCTATGCACACCTCTGTGTATCGTGATAACCTCAAATCCTTTGTGATTCCACAGGAACACGAAAAACCCAGTTTTTATCCTTGTACAAAAAGCAATTAATGGTTGAATTTCCTGTATACATAGAAGGGGCTTTTCTCTCTTGAAAACAAGTGTTCAACAAACGCACCAGAGTCATAAAGCTTTACAGATCATTCTGAACCCCATCCCACAAAAACCAATGGGCTTTATGAACAACAACCACCCTAAAAAAAAAAGATTTGCCGGGATTGTAGAATTAGTTGTGATTTAGATATTTATGTTAATTTAAAAAAAAAAAAGTTTATGAACACCCCCAACCAAAAAAAACAAACAAAAGAAAAAAAGAAGCCAAACTCCAAGTCTCCAGTAATCCAAATGCATTGCATTAACAAATATAATATTGATATGGATAAATCGGCATCAAACAATTTCTTAACAATGTATTGTTGACATGGGCTTTCTTTTTAATTTTTGGATGTATGTCACGGCATGTTGAAACTTTAAAAATATAAAGTTAATTAACACACTATAATTTTGCATGAAACTTACTGAAAACTCTTTTGAAATATTGGTTAAAAAAAAGCTACAATTTATAATTTTTTAAACTTACTTTTTTAAATTGCAACCACAAAAATTATTATGATATCAAATACACACCTAGTCTTCATGTTCAAAGTTTTCTTAAATAAAAAGAGGTTAGAGGAAGGGAATAACTCAATAAAAAAATAATTATTCTATAATTAAATTAAGTCTTCAGGATTATCTAAGCTTGTTTATCAACAAATTTATAACCTAATAGATGATAATTAATAAACATATAACTTGTAGATAAATAACTTATAGAATGATAATTTTTAGGTGATAATATATATGCTTGCAGTTTCCATTTAACCCAATAGGCTTGCAGTTTCCATT